ACTTAGTACGCAAAGTACTAGGCTACTATAAGCGTGGTCATGGTAGAGTAATAGTAGGTGTGGTCCTTGTCCGTACTTCGGGTAGCCCGGGCTTTTCAGGCACCGCTGACATGGTAACTCTTATAGTCTATCCTTGGCTATATCGCTAGTAACCGTCTAGGGAATGACAGGCTAGTCTGACTCTCAAACAGTCGAGATGATCTTCGAAGGCACAAAACGTCAACGTTGCAGCTTGAAGGATTTGTATTTGGGCATCAGGAGTAAGACGGCCATATTCAGCTAGAGCATGGATGAGGTCCAGTAGAAGCTCAGGGATTACCTCCTAGTCAACAACAAAAGGGCGAATGCTACCTTAATGTCGCTCGGAAATATATTTAGTAACCTAATAATCAACAGGACCATCATCCACAATGAAGGAGCACTTGGCGACACTCCACTGTCATCTCATGACACAGAATTTGCTGATAAGATCTCATCCGATCCAAGTTTATGACACGGTTGTATATTTCGATCAGGGAGTAAATCTCAAACAATTGTTCATTAGAACTCTCAAACAGAGTCGTGCATAAGTACTCTGAATCTAATGATAGTACATAATGACTCTGTTGCTTCGAGTAGATTGAGGATCGCCCATTATTCCCCTGCTCTTTCTTTCTTTCTTTCTTTTTTTGTTTCCTTTTTTTGTTTCCTTTTTTTCAGCCATGCGATCCAATACGAGGGCCACCATAAAGTACTATATATTTTGTAGACATTATACCCTAAGTGGCTCTCAGCCAAGCAAGCAGATGACCAAGCCCCTGACCGACCTTACCTGCCAGACTCCGAACTTTGATTGCTGTGACAGGGTTCAGAGTCTAGACTGGTGGATCAGGAACCCGTTTATTGAGACAACTATTACGGATTGATGACCTGGGATTCAGGCATAATTCAAGACGCACGATGCATGATCTCTTCCAGTTCGAACTACTCGCCAGTTGGCATGACCGACCGATGACATTATCCATACATCTGGCGGTGTCAACCGTCAACGTGGCCAAGCGACAGACTCTGTACATGGGAACGGTGTGCAATATAACTGTATGATATACATGATGTAAGGCATTGTGGAAAAGGCTCACCGCCACGTTTGTTGTCACGACTCATGAGGGACGTTGGCGAAAAATTTTAATCATGCACGACTGCATGCGTCCACAATCAAGCAAAGTCAAACCTTTACCCTGCTTAGCTGATATGACAGTTGTCAGTTGTCAGGCGGACGTTGGACTTTCTTCTTCACTCCCAAGATAGACCAACTTAATTTCTCTGGGAAATTCCTCACCGATCATAGTGATATCGTTATAGGTCATGGTATCTAGCAAGGGAGCGCGCGCTTGCCGCGGAGCCGAAAGAATGAAAAGTACCAAATTGCACACTCGAGTCCAATGCATCACGAATTCTGACTGGCTGCTAACCCATACACAGGATGAAACCGAACAAACGATCCATTTTTGGCCATTGGATGTTCGTATATCAGGAATGGTGGGGTACTTTCACCATGAGCCTTGATGGAGGAGATCAACGTGCAACCAAACGCGAGACCGGATTGCCCGTTTGATTGATTGACAGCCACTGAGTTCTCGACTGGGCCTACCTATCACTGTCAGCAAGGCGCTACTATCTCTAGTTCCTGAGCGATGTGGGTGTGATACCCACCGTCGGTAGCTGCCGCTACCATAAAGGGTAACGTACGCAAGCCTTCGGATCCTGTAGCCTCATAGCCCTGTCTGTCACTGTCAGAAGAAGCGAGTGGCTTCCCAAATAATGGGCACAGGGGGAGACTAATTCAACTTCAATGTCCTACAACTCCGCGGGAGTGCGACCACAACCTCTGCCGCCATGGTGATTTCACACGACAATGATGACGAAAATTTCCCAATGCACCGGTCCATCACCCCTGATAAGGCCGACAGGCAGATCCCGCGCCGGCGGGGGGATTGTACTTATTCACGGAAGAGATAAATAAATCAACCAATGACGTTCCGCCGTAACCGAGTTTTCGAGGTTGGCTCCTGGTAAGCCCTCAAGGCTACGGAGTAAACAGGTTGTTGGGTCAAGCTAAGTGACCGGGGAGTACTGTTTATTGGGAATCTTTACAGGGTGTTGAAGAACGCGAAAGAAGAAAAATGAATGATACATGCGCAATCTACGGCGAGAATACGTAGTTCTACACTATTGCTCTATCATCGAACGCCTCGATGTAAATCAAGACAACCCCATGCAGATACCAACGATGCAGCAAAGCCCTATTGCGTCATTGGAAAAGCCAGATAGAGGTGTATGGATTAAAAGTCTCCGAACTGCTAGGAACAGGATGGAGGGGGGGGTTGGTGAGTGGAGTTTGAGAGAGGGGTTCGAAATCGAGCCCAAGAATGGGTCACGTTGGACCGGGCCGGTTGGTCTAGGGAGAATAAGTAGCCGAAGGCCTTGGGGGCTTGAGGTTTGTCGTCATCCGCAGTACTTTGTGCTATGGTTTCAAGGACGGTTTACTGTCAAAGCCAACTGGTCAATGTAACATACTTAAAGACACGGGCCCCTCATAGACACTAGCAGCATTGTGCATATTCCAGAAAGGGGAATCGCAAAAGAGTTGCCTGTCTGCCTTTAGGTAAGGTAGTCACTTTGGAAATCATTGACCGTTTCGTTACTAGCATGACCTTTTTTGGGTCGATTGTTATGTCCATTACAGAGTGCCAAGGGGTTAGTCACAGAGACTTCATGGTTACAAGGAACTTGATTGCACCGTCGGTCAAGCATAAGTACGGGAAAACTGATAGTCAAAGACCCACAGCCCAATGGGATAGCGGGATAAGTGGATAGTAGCAGGGCACGGCCCGGGGAGCGCGGACCGAACGTCGTCAACGCTTGTCATCAAAACCAAGTACGATAGGCCATGTCAATCCTCCAGAGTCCAGACTCCCCGCTGTCCACCTGATACTCGCACACTGACGGACATGCGCAATCATTGGAGCGCCAACCGCGATCTCTTGTCCATAGCCTGAGAACCGATCCGGTTTCCCTTCCCCTGGGTTACGCTAAGAGCACTTATTTTCCCAAGCTGTCCCTGTGCATGCCTACAATCAATTTGGCGCAAAAGTACTGCCTGTGCAAAGTACATTGTGTGTTGGTAGTTGAATGCCTCGCTCCTTTCCCCTGCGTCAGCTTCTTTCCTGTGTCAGGGACGGGGATCCAAGTGCCAGGTAGATGGGATGAGCTCCCTTGCAAGGCGACGCAGACCCTAGCCATTTCAGCCGCGTGCTATCACCGCCCGCTCTCTCCTTCCCTGGCAGGGAGAAATGAAGGGCCAAAGCATCCCTGGTGGTGCGTCCGTGAATTTGAGGCCTGCAGAAAGTTGACAAATACTGGCAGGCCGGCACAGTGGCTGGCTCCGTGGAGCTGAAGACGCTGCGAGTTGGAACTGCGACATAAGTACTCGCAGCACGCCTGATTCAAATGAAGCTGCTGCAAGCCTGGACCTGCCATATGGAGCATGTGCAGTGCGCTATCACCACATGGGCCAGGGGCCCAAGTCCAACCTGTCTCACAATGGCTTTTCTCGTCTACACTTTCGTGAAGGAATTCCATATTAGAACGCTTTCGTTAAACCGGTATTATCCTGGCACGAGAGAACCTAATTCTACATATGAATGACGACTGTTTACAATATTCAGTTGCACGAGAAACCTGGTTTCCGGTCATCCTGGTGGTGATAGATATATATCTCATAAAGGACCCATCACCCATGCGACCGGGCCGAGCCTCTGCAGAATTAAGCATGCAAGTCACCGATGGGGATTAGGGCGTCTGTTGTGCGACGTGATTTCTGTGCCCAGTCAGAGTAAACGCGGATATGGGGGGTTGTACCTTACTGCAGATTATGAGCAATAATAATGGCATACATATGACACATTGTTTCTCCTCGAAATGACTATTGATTCGACGGGTAAGAAGATATTTTCCGACTGGGTTAACTACCCTAGCGATGAAATGAGTGTCTGTTCATGATTGGACTGAGTAACCCATGATCTACGCTAGTTATTCTAGAGTTCCGTGGAATGTCCATTCCACCGCACCAGATATATTTTGTGGACGATCATCATAAACGATTTGGTAGTACCCAGAGGTCGGAGTACTATAGAATGAAGAGTTGAGGGTAGAACACAAGACTCACATACGTACGCCATTTCATTGTCATTTTATGTATCCCTTTTTCTGTGCGCCCGTCATAACATGGACTATGGTACACTGATTTAAGTTGCGGGTATGGGCGGAAGGCCAACTGAACCATGGAACCGCTAGTATAGTGTGATGAACTATAATGGCCACTGCGAGTTGTCGCTCCCCCACCTCGCAAATCTATGGAGATGCTAATCTGATGCTCCAGTAGTATTCGCTGTTATTGATTCCTTCTGACGAACCCATCAAGAAGCATGTCACTATGAGGTGGATTACATACGCATGGCAGGAAGCAGCTTCTTGTTACACCACATTAACCAGATTAAATGGCTCGTCTGCCCGCACAACAGCAGCGCCTAGTATCCAAATATCCTGAAACTTGTACACAACACCTGAAGCCACCAATCAACGCCTGTCGCCTGCAGAATTCAGTACTAAGTATAGCCCTAACCGCACAGAGTCAGCATCATGCAGTAGTCACAGGCTAACTTACTCGATACATCCCTGTTCCTGCTCGCGGACTGGCCCAGAATCAACAATCTGGTACTCCGGGGATGTGGGACATGCATGCATATAAATTAGGATGAGGATATGATTCGCCACAATTTATCGGCCGGATGTGCCGACTGCAGAGAAGTCTGAATGAACCATTAGGGAATCCGGGAAGCTATATAGAGTAGGGATCATCCCTCTCGAATGGTGCAGAGTATTGTATGGAGCATGCGGTACCACGGATCCAGATAAATCTATCAATTACCTGTTAACAATACTAGATACCAAATTTACACCTAGGACATGAGAACCTGTGGAATCGACGCTGAAATGACTGCTACTGATATGGCGGCATTTCCACCAGCATGGGCTAGTCGCTTGTACATTCTGACAAGGGTCACCCGCTCTTCACGCCTTGAATCTTTGGCTTCAAGAACCTCCATGAGAGGTAGGAGCTCTCGTGTCTTTTGAAATACTCCCAATGTCGGCTGATGTTGGCGATCTGCTCGTTGATTGCGTTTGACGGGTAAGGCATATCTGGTGAAGGCCTCATTAGTGTGGGGCAAATGCGGGTCAAAATTGACCTTGCTGGCATGCATGGTTTCGGCGAATTCGGCACAATTTCCACTGTGGGATCAACGTCTGTCAAAGTATAGAGCTTGAGCCCTCCATTAGTGGTCTCTTCCACTCTCTGGACAACTACATGAATGGCTGGTTTTGACTCTTTTTTCAGAACAGACCTCGGCAGCAACGTTCCTACTGAGCCGCGTTGGGTCTTCTACAATTATTCATTGTTGGCGGAAGTCAGTGGTATTACACCGACCACCCCATAGTCAGCTTCAATCCGTCCGATTTTGGCGGGGTTGGATTCAACATCCCCATGAAAACGCGGCTAGACAAGCGTTTCTACATATCGTTTCCAAACGATTTCGCCATGTAATCGAGGACAGCATTTTGGCAGGTATCCGAATGAATAATCCTCGAGTTGATAGGCATAGCCCATCAGGGAGAAATCATAGTTTTGTAGTTGCTGAGGGCCTTCTTTAGGCATCTTGTGCAAAGTTCACCAAGGAGTGACGAAGATGCAAGCCCTGGCGAGCGTAAACTCGATCTGCATGGAAAGGAAGAGAGATGTAAGATGTCGGGTCTCTGCGGAGGCAGGATGGTCCAAAGCGAAGCTATATTCACTGTTGGTCACCTGGGAGAAGAGGACGACCTTTAGCGAGATAGCGTGTTGACAAACGGCGTGTAATCTAGAAATATATACTGAAGCCGTTGCCTGGGCATTTCACCCAAAACTCGACTCTCTTGTTTGACCCTCTCCATTGCATGGTGCGTGAGAGCCAAGTCATACCTGCACATCCAGAATGTGGCTGGCCCTGGAAGCTCCTGTAGAGAAGGTGAGCTCCCTTCTCCATAAGCTCTATCTACCACACAGTCATAACAGACTCATAGGGAAGGTGCGCTCTTCACTGCTGATGATTTAGTTAAGATCCACTAATCGATTTCTAATTGATTAAACTATCAACCAATATTAGGTACACTTAGTGAAATTATTAAAAGGTGAGATAATTGCTTTAGCAGAGGATCTAATCTTATAAAGTTCATAAGTACATTTCAACTTCTTTAGATACGCCTAATATCTATCACTGTACTTACTTCCTGTACCTAGATTAGATGGCTAAAGCAAGTGGATATAGCACAAAAGTCCCGTACAGGGAAATGGCTGAGGACTTCCAGGAACAGCATCCCGGGGAACAAGTTCTGGCATTGCTGGCACGGGAATATAACCCGATTGAGCGCACCATTGCGATGCTATTTTCTCCTCATTTGAATGATCGACCTGCAGAGGACGAAAGTCTGTTGAACAAGACCCCTCAAACTGCGACGCGCAGATCAAGACCACACGGGTTATGATGAAATCTCCACAAGTTTATGCTTTGAGGTTCCTGGAATGACTGAAGACCAGGCAACTCTATCTCTATCATCATTCTCCATGTGCGTCGAACCGAACATGTTCGTGTCCACCGTGATAAATAATATCTTGCAAGAGTGCCAGCAATCCCCAAACTGATTCCGGTAGCTGGAGTCGCACCGGACAAATCGGTCATTGCCAGCTGTCAGGGACCCATCCACTATATATGCATGTCACTGGTAGAATCCTGGGGATATCCACCTTTCATCAATGCCAGTGTCGCACAGCTTCCAGCCATCGCACAATCATTTAACTATTCTGTTGTATGAGTCCTGCAACTACGGACTCGGTGATGGATCGACTCGACTATGCGAGCATCGACGCAAGGATGATGCTTGGCGATCTTCGACCACGGCGCCTGGAAGTTTATGTTTTGGGATACGTCTCATGGGCGACCTCAGGTCCATTTATCGCATAAAAATCAAAACGGCCTGAGCGTTGCGGCTGGTCTCCCTTGTGCCATGCTATTCGGGGATTTACTAAGTACAGAGTATGCTTACGGAGTACAGTGTAGGATGTCAGATATTGCCAGTATCAGTTCAAATGTCTCACTCTGTGAAGAAGAGTGTATGCAAATGACTGTCATTATCTCACTAAGTGCGTAATAACCCGTCAGCCATACCCAGAGGTAGATTTTATACCCTCTACTGCAAATCACTGAAGCAAATACCGCCAACTGCTAGATGTGCGAACAACCTCAACCCGAAAACCAGGTTCTCACTGCGACGGACGGACGGCACGGCCGGGTTTCCCTGCAAGATCTGAATCTGAATTCTATCTAAGCGGGGCCCTTCGTTCAATCCTTCTACTACTCCTCTACTAAACTAAAGTGGTTGTAATTTCAAGTACTATCCAAGTATGTTTTTCGTAGATGGATCCGGCTCCTGCAACTTAAGTGTCCCGCGTCCCGCTGTGGTATCATTATAGTCATACAGATGGTACGGACTACATAGTCTACGGAGTAAGTCGGGCAATGGCCCAGCGTCCGCCACGCGAGAAAGAGATAGTGCTTGGTCCCCCGTAGTTAATTTTGATAGACGTCGAAGATGAATGGCAAAGACAACAATCTATAAGGACGCAAGGGATGACAAATTAAGAAGTTTATCCATGCTTCCGTCCACTGAGACCGCACGCCTTGAAGCAGCCTTCGTACGAACTAAGACCGCGAATGGCCCAAGCATGGTCTGAGCCTCGCGAGTCCATTCTACCCAGTGAGGTCTGTTTCTCCACACGTTTTCTCAATACAGATCGAACTATATCATTTCGAAAGAATATTTCAGAGTTCAGAAGAGGTAATCTGGTCCATGAGTCTCTGCATGTTTCTAAGGAAAACCTTGAATTGCGCTACTATTGGGTGTGTCACGTCTGCTTTGGCGGGGTACTCCAGCTCGGTGGCTGGCGTTCACTATTCAGATGACCGGGGGTTGTAAACTTGTAATACAGCTTCAAGAAATGGTTAATTAATGGCTGTCAGTAGTTGACAGCGACAGTGTCCCTCTCTCTCACCCTAGACAACATCGTTACGTGCCAGTTAGTTGCATTTTCTGCATGGTCCCTCCCAGCTGCTTCCCTACACCGCTACTCTTGAGTGCGTGCACATTGGAACAAACAACTTTTATATGGCTATATGCAACCGGAAGGCAATCCCTCCACCTACACTGTAGATACTCTGTACACAGATTGACTATACTCCGTAATGACGCTGAAAACAGGGAATCATAAACCCCTCTTGACATCATGAACTCAATGCTTGTCGCCTCCAGGCCAGACCACTCCCCCTCCGGAGCCGAAATTGACACTAAGGCCGGCTGTAAATCAGGATTCTATCGTAGCGCCTCCAGATCGGTGATCGATCACCCTAAGGTCTCCAAGAAGGCCCCTCTTCAATGGCGCACGGACTTTGTTACAGATCAAAGCTGCGACGACAGCTGGCTGAGACGACCCAGAGCTGTGTCCTCGAGTTCGCCATGCACTGCAGAGTACCGGTACGTACTCTCGCTGAAACAGGGCGATTCCCACAAACCAGGAAAGAGGATAAGGGAATCAGATTTTTCGCCTTCCTTATACAGTAGTCCAGACAAAAAAGGGATCGGCCCGAGCTGGAAGAATCGATCCGGTTCCCCCAGCCAGTCACAATATCAGCTTCCTCTTTAGGTGGAAATTAGATTACTGCACAAGCGCTGCTCCATCGCTGTCAAGCAAACCGGCTTCCCTGACCAGCTCATAGAATTTGCCGCCACGCTTGATCAGGTTTGCGGGCGTGTCAAACTCTGCGACCTGCCCCTTGTCCAAGACCACGATTCGATCAGAGTCAATAATTGTATTAATGCGGTGCGCAATCGTGATGATTGTGCGTTCCTGGAAGACGCTGCTGCGCAGGGTGCGTTGGAGCAGCGCATCCGTCTCCACGTCGACTGCCGCCTGTTACAAGCCGTCAGTGAACCTTCATCATGTACAGGAAGAAACGGTGTAGTCAACGGCCACTTACTGTTGCTTCGTCAAGCACAAGGATATTGCTCGGTGTCAGCAACGCCCGCGCCACAGATACCAGCTGACGCTGGCCCTGGCTAAGATTAGATCCTGTCACCATCACGTTAGTACTCGGGCGTTTAGTTTAAGCAAGGACTCAAAAGGGGAGTGGGCATGGCGGTGGCAAAAGAGAACTTTACCTCCTTCTTGAATCTGTGCGTCCAGCTGACCGTCCATTTGAGCGATATGCTCCTTGAGTCTGGCATGTTCTACACAATTACGGGGTCAGTCAGTCAATCAATGCTTGGGAATGCAGCGAACCGGGCCAACATACCTAGGACACTCCACAGCTCCGTGTCATCATGCACATGCCGCGGGTCCAAATTGTCCCGCAGAGTGCCTTCAAACATGGCAGGATCCTGGGGAATAATGGCAAGACGTCCCCGCAGGTCAGATAGGCCAATAGTAGAAATATCCAGGCCATCAATACTATAAAAGACGTCAGAAACTGTAAAGACAAGTAGATCGGGCAGTTTTTCTCACCTGATGCTGCCACCAGCGGCTTCGATGATCCGGAAGAGCGCCAGAGTCAGCGAACTTTTTCCTGCACCTGTACGACCAACAACGCCTATTTTTTCGTGAGGTTTGATGTCTAGGTTGATATCCTTGAGCACGAGATCAAGTCCAGGACGGTACCGCGTGCTGTAGTCCTTGAAGGTCACCGCCCCTTGAGCGGGCCATCCGATAGCCGGGCGGTTTTTGAAGATGACATCAGGGGCCTCGCTGGGCAGGTTCGCGTATTCAAGAACCCGCTCAACAGACACAATGTTGGTTTCGACTTCGACAGTCTGTCGAACAATCCAGTTCAAGGACTGAGTGATTTGGAGAGCATAAGACATGGCCAAACCGACCATGCCTTCAGACACACGACTGCCAGTGGCGACCGAGATGATGGAAAGCACCGCGGAAGTCAGGATAATAACCGAACCGATGAATTCCAAACGAACAGCCAACCATCTGTTGGCACTGAGGGATGGAAAGTAAGCCCGAAGATTCGCATCCATGCGCCATTCGTTTTCAAGAGCAAACCGGTTCTCCTGTCGATAGCCGCGGATCGTGGAGATGCCGCCGAGCGACTCCTGGAAGTGAGCATAG